AAAAAGAGAAAAATTCCAACAAACAAAATTAAATAAAAACTAAAAAAACAACCTCTCCCACCCTTCTACTGGTATTTTGACTAGTTAAAAAAGGAATTCTAATGAGCTTGACTTCTGATTGAATTATTATTAGAACTGATATGCATGCTAATCATATCAGGTTACCTTGGGGTTGTGTTTTTTCTCTCATCACAAACATGGATCCTTCATTAATGTGGAATACTGGGCAAACTACTGAGACTGTAAAATCTAAGCATCACTTTTGCAGTATCATAATTACTTATACACATTTCTTTCTCTATTTCTCCCATCCCCAATAAACAGATCTTGAATATCTTAATCTAGTTGCTGCAATGATATTCCGTCAGTTAGCACATCAATTCCGTAAAAGGACTGAAGAATACAAAGAAACCTAGTTTGCTAAAATGAGGCATCCTCCATTGTTTTATGTAATGTACCCTGACTGCTCCTGAGTAAATACGGAGCTCGTCCTCCATGAGATAAGGCTATATCCTCACTTGTTGGTGAGACCAAATTCTACCCTTAGAAAATCTCAAATGAAATCACAGCAAAGGTAGTGTTCAAAGTAATTAACTGAAGTATTTCTGAAGGTAGTGTGTGTACATTTTCCACTGCCTTCCCCTCTGGGTGAGCACTAATAGCTTGCTAATTTGTTAAGCAAATCGAATAGTGAGAAGAAAATTATAAAATGTAACTATAAATATATGACCCAATAATTATGTCACTGAATAAACAAATTTCTCAAATTCAAAGGTTCATTGTTCTTCTTAGTTTTTCTTTAGTTTAATCCTTCAACTAGTTGAATCGTAGATGAAAAATGTGAATAATTTTGTATTATAAGATGGCTTTCCAATTTGCAGTGATAAAGCTCCCAGTATGACAGACGTGGTTTCTAAAAGGGGGCTTTTTTTCCTCTTCTTTTTTAAAAAGTAAAAACAAATATAACTTAGAAAAAAACAAACAAACAAAAAGAAAAGCATGCAGGCTCTACAGGCAAGGAGTCCACTTCCATGTATCTGTTCTCTGTGAGGTAACTCAATTCTCTTTTGTAGAGAAACATGCAAAAGGCCAAATATATTCCGAGCCATACTGCACATGAAAAATTTAAAATATGCAACATTCGGAATGCACATTTCATCTCTGTACACACAAGTCAATGCAAAATCTGCAAAGAAACAAGTGTCACAGTGAATGAAATTACGCGCAAACAATGACAGCTGAACAATGATGCAGTAGTGCTCACCCAGTTTGTACAGTAATTGGCACTCTACAGTATTCCTACTCGTTTTTTGATTCATTTGCACTTTGTGCTGCCTCTCCCTGGGGATCTAATTCAATCTTTACAGAAACATCTGGCCCCTCCGACCTCATTAATTTCATCTTTTTCTTTGGAGGGTTTTTCAAAGTGCCCAGCCTCTCCTTTACTTTGTACTCCAGTGTACTGTGGGGAATCCCATAAATACTCTGAGCTTTGGAAACACTCATTTTTCCACTCATCACCACTGAGATTGCTTCCTCCAGTATCTCACTGTTGTACTGTCTGTAACGCCCTCTTTTCTTCCGAGGCTGCTTGGAGCCAGGGTCTCCTTCTTGATCCGATGTGGGATATGGCTGTCCAGAGGTAGACTGCTCAGCATCTGAGCCCCAAGAATCGGGTCCAGCATCTAACATGCTTTTTCTATTTTGTTTTGGAAGAATAGCCCTTAATTTTTTACTAAGCGCGCTCTCCGTTTGTGAACCCATTACCAAAGAGCTATAGCTGTACTGATCACCAGTGCGAGACTCCCAAGAAAGATCCATTCCTCGAACTTGTGGTATCTTTAAATCTACAGGAGATGAATGGCTCACATCCTTTTTTCCATCTTGTTTTGCTTGAAGTGCCATTTTTGGAAAGGCAGAGTTTTCTGCAAGAAAAGGAAGGTCACTGATGTTGCTGAGTGCACCATTTCCCCTGAACTTCATACGGCTGAGGTTGAACTCGTAATGTGGTTTTGCCCAAGAGGCTTCCCTGGATAATATTAAGTGTTGTCCATGATTCTGTAATCCAGATGGCCCAAGGCTGGCAGTTGTGGACAATTGGTTTCTGCTTAGTAGTTCTTCACTAATCTGCAGGGATCGAGCCAGTGGAACTTTGAGTGATGTGGAGTGTCCAAAACCTTCCCTGGTTCCATCCTGTAAGCTTCTTGGAGGTACCCCATCACCACTCCGAAGTCCGTCTGGGCGGTACTGGCTGGGTCTCCCAGGTCGCCTAATTGGATGGAAGGAAACTGATGTGAGCAGGACTTGCACAGGTAGGGAGGGATGGGTGAGGGGACCACTCCTTTATTAGAAGGCCTTGCTTGGGTAACATCACTTTGTGTTATTTATTTATTTTTCTCTAAAATTAAAAAAAAAATGGTCTCAGCAGTTAGTTTTAAAACTTGTTCACAAAAAAGGAAAAAGAAAAAAGAAAAAAATCAGGAGCTTTTTGGGCAAAGAAAAATTAAACCTGTCAGCTGGTCTCTGGTTGGGTTCACAAATTTTCGGAGAAAAAGTTTCGCGCAACTGTCTGAAAATAGCATCTTAATTATTAATTACAAAGTAATCATCAGTCTCCATAGATCTACACAGAATTGTGTTACCAATGTGACGTTACCACTAAACAAGTACAGTAATAAAAGAGTAAGCCAAATTATTTATTTTAATTCAATATATTCAACATTCATGACAACTAGTTTTAAAACTGGAACCATATACATTATTGGAGCCCATAGATATTTCCTCATTTATCCCACAAACATGTTGATGTTCATCATCAAAAAATCAAACAATTCCAAATAACATTTCTTATTTTGCTTGGGGGAAAAAATACATATATATGGCTAACAGACCCAACGGGGAGAAAAAAATTCCAAACAAACCAAACCAAAAGACCCACTGCATTATAACTTACCACACTTCTTCATTTTAAAACACTATTAGTTCTAGATACACGAGTATCATGATTTTCCATTTGAAATAATCCAAGCTTAAAAGAAATTAGTCTTTATTTACCCGTTAAGTTCTACTCAAAGTAATTATTGTCAGAGGGATCTAAACAATTTTTTAGCAGTTTTCTCTGGCTTAAAAAAAGACTTCCCCTTCTTGAAATACCAAACACCTATTTTCAAATTTCAAGTGGACAGCTTTCAAATCATGTTTAAAAAGTCAACTACTTAGACAAAGTTAATTCGTAAGGTTTTGACTTCCACAATAGAGAAAGATTATCAATATAAAGGCTGACATCTGGCAAAACATACCCAAGGGGACGGTTACATTAGGCACAAAAGTGGGGCTTTGCAGAAATCATAAACCAGTTATGTTCTACAAAACTCTACGGGGACCTCCTATCATCAGTAACACAATAAGGATAACACTGAATATTCAACTAAAAGATGAGCATTCCTATTGGTGCATTTTTCTTCCATAAAACAAAACCAGTAGAAAACATTTTATATTCAGAAGGATAAACACAGCAACTTCAGCCATATAATACATGAACCTAGTACGCAAGTTTACAGTGAATCTTAAGCAAGGGATTTGTTTATGCAAACTGCACATTGACTTCTCCTATATGTGTCCTTAACTACACAACTCAACTGTTTTTTGTTTTTGTTTTGGAGACAGGGTCTCGCTCTGTCACCCAGGCTCGAGTACAGTGTTGTGATCACAGCTCACTGCAGCTGTGATCCTCCTACCTCAGCCTCCTGAGTAGCTGGGACTACAGGTGTGTACCACCATGCCTGGACAATTTTTGTATTTTTGGTATAGATGGGGTTTTGCCATGTTGCCCAGGCTGGTCTCGAGCTCCTGGCCTCAGGTAATCTGCCTGAGTCAGCCTCCCAAAGTGCTGGGATTATAGACGTGAGTCACCACAGCCAGCTCAAGTGTTTTTTGATATATAAATAGAACCCAAAGATTTGGGACCATGCTGACATATCTAGTATAAACCATAGTGAAAAGAAAGGGTTAAGAAAAAGGTTAGTAAACTATGCATAATAGATTAGTACTTTCTGCAAATGAAAAGTTTTGGAATTTTAGAGAAAATAAAGGGAGATTTTAAAAGTCTGTAAAGGAATCCTTTGATTTGAAGGTAGTCAACAGTAAGTTGGAAAAGGTCAGTCCACTTAGCATCCACTTGTTCCTTTAATATCTAAGTAACTTCCCCATATTGATAATCTGAAAGTTAAATAAGTCTAGGTATTAACTAATTTAAACTTACCAAGTTATTCTTCATATCAAGATAGTTAATTTTTGTCATAAAGTTTTATAGAAATGCTTTTTCAACATGGTGTCTAGATATCTTTATTAAAACCTGACTTTTCTAGTTGGTTATTAGATACACGTAGGGAGAAGATGGTTCTTATACCATAAAATTAGGTAGTCAGAGAATTTATTTTAGTATCCTAAGAGTTATGAAAACTGAGCATGTAATAATGTCTTGGTAGCCTAAGATGGTTATGCATCAACATCTACAATCAGTCTTTCAGAAAATTACATTTTCTGAACTGCCAGAGTTAAAGCACGGTTTAAATCAACCACCAAAACCAAACCCAAAAGAAACAAACAAAAATGAACATGCACACACACAAACCCCACTAGAGATACCAAGTATTGGAGCTCAATTTTCATTCAACAGCTTCAGCACACATAATAGTGTCTTCACATCTAAACTTTAGAATTATTTAACTTGAGTTTCGCACTCCAAAACATGCCACAACGAAAAGTCCAAAGAAATATTTCTGCCATATTCATGATTATTTACTATTTGTACTAAACTGACAAATGTTCATCTGTACTAGCCAATTTACATTGCACAGATTATGTTTTTACTTAATCAATGGTCCATATTTATAAAGACTTAGAAGGGTTAATTTTTAAAACCTAAAAGGGAGACTAGCATCAACCTTTGATGAATTATCTATATTAAACTGTGTAAGGCTACAAATATTCTCCCTTACCCGTTCCCTTGAGTACTGGAGCAGCCTGGAGAGTGGCTCAGGGAAGTGCTGCCAGCACATGGACTTTTCTTAGTGGACAGATCAAGTACACCGTCTGCAGAGACACAAAAAAACACCTGAGGACATTAAAAACTTGGAGCAAATGTCAACTGAATGGGCGAAATATGAAAAAGCAGTAGGCTTATTCAACTAAGCAGATACGTGAGTCCTATATTTAAGTTATAAAATCAATTCAATCCTGAAGCAACATAAATTTAGCAAGGCATGTTATACTTAATATATGCAAGGGCTAAATATTAATGAGGCAAAAGATAAAACATGTTACTGAAGATGTTAAGATATAGTGAGATACTAGAAATAGCAGTTTACATAGCATGAGGTCCTAACCTGTTCTCAGAATTTTTAAGATGCAATTTTCTAAATTTGCCTTGATCAAAGCATGGAAGTTTTTAATGTTCTGCAATGGCATACAAACTATAGAACCAAATCCCTCAAGAGCTAAATCTACCTGAAACTCCAAAAGTACACATAAGTTGGACGTAGAAAATTTTAAATAAGATAAAAAAATTATTTTTAAACCTAAGTTTATGTCGTTAAAGTACATGTATATACTAAATACGATGGTAAGATGAATCCGTTGTTAATGATTTATAATTTGGGTGTGTCCTAATAGTTCTCTACACATATCTATAAAAAATGTATACTTATATTCAGTCTTTTAAAAAAATGTGCAGAGATTCAAAATTCAATTGCTGAATTTTATGAATGCAAGAACTAAGACGACATTAAAAATTGGTGAAGAAAGTTTAAAGAAAGAAGAATGAAACTGTCTTGATACTGATGAGAGCCTGGAAGTACAACCATTTTTTACTGCAACTAGACCAAATCACAAATTCATGTTATTAATACATAAAGTTAGAAGACTTCCTTTTCCCTCAAAGACATTTTTCTCCTTATAGAAATACGCAGTAATCTTTTAAGGCTATTAGTCTGTCCAAAATTAACAGAGCAAGACAATACACAATGTCTCTAATTTTCAGTAGGCCAGCAGAGGGGTCTTGATACCTAGTTATGTTAAAAATCGCCCAAGGGTAGAACCTACTTACAACTTGTATCTGAAGACATTTTGACTCCCTATTTCAGGCTGCTAGAAACAAACAGGCAACTGAGTTTGTAAACTAAAAAAAACCCCATACTCATAAGTGTTTTGTCTTTTAGAGTCACTAATATTTCTAAAAATATAATTATAGGCTTATAGAACCAATTATCCTATTAGACATCTAACCCAATTAGACACATCTAAGAAGCAAAAGTACTGCTTAAAACATTTCCAGCCAAAGACACTATTATTTAAAGACAAGCCAAATAGACAATTTGTCTAATCAAACAGGCAACATATTTTAAGTCTACCACTAAAAATATTGTGGTTTGGGTTGAAAACACATTCATTAAGGAAATACAATTTAATTTTTTTTTAATTTCATTTGAAGTCTGCATACTATAATGCTATCATGTAGCTCAAATTCTTCTTTGTAGGAGCACGCTATCAATACAATGTATCTCTTAAGTATAACACTAGTTATAACAAGTTAAATTAGACTAAGTGGTATCATTTTATGTAAATCTACATTAATATTTTAAATATAATTCTATGTTGCCATTCTCCCAAAATTAACCTGAAGCTTCTGATGCAATAGAGTGAAGAGATTTTTAATGAAAACTACCATTTGTGGAAAAGAAAACAGTCATCAATAAAAAAGATACAACTTTGTAAATACGGTAACCAAAGGTACATGAGCAACGTGAACAACTAGGAGGTCTCCTCTCAAGAAACCTCTCAGAACTCAGGTATTTTGTTTGCTGTTCACCACACAGGAAAAGGATAAAAGCAAAGAAAACCTACTCAAAAGAAAGTTCGTTTCAAAGAGGTTCTTTAGGAATTAAATTTATTTTCCAAAATAAACATGTATTTCTCACCAATAAATCCACACATCTCATAACTTTGCTATATACTCAAGATTTCTATGACAATAAAATCTCAGTATAAACATCACCGATTTACTAATTGCGGTGGTTCAGTGACTGAGTTGAAATGCTTGCCTCAATTTTTGTGAAATTGAAGGTAAAATGAGATGACAAAGCAACAGGAATACCTACTGAAGAAAATAAACTTCAGAGACTCAAGAACATTTTCTAAACAAAACAACCTCTTAACTTCATCACTTAGTGTCTTCAACAAATTCCCTTTTGGAAATACTTTCAAGTTAGTCAGTGGATGTATCTGTTTCTGTATTTATAAAACACTGAACATACTTAACAACCTGAAGAATGTTCTGCTCCTTTCTCTATTTGTAACCCTAGCAGTTTATTTTTCAAAATTCAAATACATGTTTTTCCTTATGATCTCATTTGCAGGCTATGTAACTTATACCTACAAGGAGAGGTGTGTTTCTCAGACAGGTGCTAATCCTAGAAAATTTGTAGGTAAGAGGAAAACTTACTTTTTCATAGGAGTTTTAAAAAACATAAAAATACTTCGAAAAATATAAAATGCTTATATAAATATCAAGCAACTGAAAGATTAGTGACAACTGTAACCACCTGACTTTTCTGGGTGGGACATCAATCATAATCATGAACTGCTGACAGATAGGGCTGTAACAACTTGAACTGTACTTCTCCATCACTGCCTAGTAATAAATAATTTAAGAATCACATTAGTTTTTATGCTATTATTGCTGCTGATGCTCTACTTGCCCACAATGCTTTTTGTTCTTTTTTTCTCCCCCAATTAAAGTACTCTAGTAAGATAGAGGAGACCTTGACATCAAACCATACCTTGTTCGCTAGGTTCTGACTGAGACTTTCTGACAGTAAGGTCCAGAGGTGAGTCTTGGTCAGCCATGAGAAGTTTGCTGAGCACAGGGTTCTGAGTAGTTGCAGCCGTGGGAGAAGTGGTGACTGGAGATGCTTTCGGCAGGCTTTGGTTCTTTGTGCTATTGGGCTGGCTGGGGTCCTGAGTAGAGCTATTTTTTGAGGTATATTCAGCAGCAAATTGTTGGATCATTCGCTGCATGATCTCACGGGCCACTAGGGGAATATTGGGGTCGGAGACCCAGGGACTGTCTGCAAATAAAGATTTATTTACTTTTAAAGTGGGACAATGTACTAAAAAAAGACAGCTTTCAAGTAAACATAAAATTTCATTTTTTTCTTAAAATACAGTTATCTTAAAAATAGTATCTCCCCTTTGACTTATATTTTTACTCTCTAAGCTTTTGAGTTATAGATTTTTAAAAATAAAATTTTCATTAATTCTAAACATCTTCCCCCCATACAATAATTGATTATGAAATTAAATAAAAGGATAACAAATAGATATCTTATGGGCAAGAATCACTTACCTGATACAGAAATCCCAAAACCTTTCTCTTAGGAAATAATTACTCTCACGTTAACACACCTATAGATCACAGCAAGTTTCCCTAGATTTTTTCCTCAGTCACTTCCTCCTAAATATTTGAAGAATACATTACTGAGTTCATGAGTGCTCAATTTACTTTATAAAGACTGAAAGCATACCAAGATTATAAAAGGAGATACTTAATTTTAAGATCCATTTTAGGCTAGGGCAATCATTCACACACTTTAATGTTCATCAGAATCACCTTGATGGCTTGCAAAAACAGATTGTTGGGTTCTCTCCCCAGTGTTCTGATTTAGTAGTTCCAGGGTCGGCTCAAGAACTGGCATTTTATCAAGTTCTAAGATGCCACTGGTCTGGGGACCACAATCTTAGAACCTCTGGGCTAGGTGTTTAAATGTTAAATCTCAAAAGCCTAAGAAAAATCACATTATTTTCCAAGAGTACTTTAAATAAACTCTGCCAACTACTAAAACAATAGCTAGGGAAATAATGAAATAAACATCTAAATTATCGATTGCTAGTCAATGTTAAGTTTTGACCATAAGAACTCATTAACTCATAGAACTTTTAGCACTGGAAGAGACTTTGAAGGGCAAAAGAGGTTAGTATGGAAGGGAAAATGGCTTGTATAAATACATCATCATCACGCCTCTATAATTATCACACTCTAATAATCAGGAAGACTAAGCTTCTCAAGAGCTGGGACTGTGTGTTTTTTCACTGTGTACCTCTATATACCTAACCTTGCCTGGTCTAAAGTATGTATTCAATTTAGTTGAATACTAAATAGGTCAATCAAATCAATCACCATGAAATAGTCCTTTTAAAAAAATAAAATGAGGGAAATGTGTTTACCTCTGTGTACCTCTATATAGCTAATCTTGCCTTAAGTGTGTATTCAATTTAGTTGAATACTAAACAGGTCAATCACCATGAAATAGTCCTTTAAAAAAAAAAAAAAAAAAAAACGAAATGTGATCAAAAGAGTAAGTGGTCACTACAAATTTATATGGATGATTAGTGACAGACCCTCAATTAAAACTTTTTCCCTGATTTTACTGTTTTACCTGTGGCCGTCTTCCCCACCATACTTCTGGGGCTTTCCAAGACAGTTCTCAGAAAACCAAGGTTTCCCTAGTCTTTTAAAGTTTAGCTATAGAAGGCAAACAACTTTATCCACAGTATTTTCAAGCTGTAAGGAACTTAAGAGTTTAATTTAGAAAGTTAAAGAAAAATTGACTCTAATTACTAACTAAAATCTAAAATCTCCAAAATAAACAACCAACAAACAAAATACACCATCAAAACTTCACAGGACTCCTAAGAACAGGCATTTCCCCCCCCAAAAGACATTATTCAATACCAGAATATGCTCACAAAGTTGTGATATTTATTTCATCTTCTGGAGTTTAATGAGGCTCTCTCTCCTAATGTTTCTGTCATACTAAGGAATATTTATAGCTCTAATTTTCTTCTCTATAAATAGAGACTGTAAGTATTCCAGATGGTTTAAAAATAAAGGTATGGAACTAGGTAAGGTTCAGAAGTTGCTACAGTTAATAACAATCGTTCCTCCAGTGTTTTAATAAACATTTTATCCATACACTGCTTTTTAAGTATCTCTATTGAATTTTCTTAGTATCATTTAACTTTCCAGTTAAGACCCGTTTTTTTCTACCTAAATCTCCACATAAGCTATCACATAAATTTCAAGTTTTAATATTAATTTACTGTTTCCCCCTTAATAGTTGAAGAACATACAATTCATAAATTTCCATATAAAAAAATAAAATAAAATGTATGAATTTATGAGATGTCTCTGTGTTTAAGTAGTATTAATAAATATAATTAAAGAGCTCTGTGACGAGTCAAAGATACCAGGACAAGGACCATAGACCACTATCTTGGAGCATTCAATGTCTGTAGCGTATCTTGTCCCTTTATTGAATGAAGAAACAGTCATGAGACAAGACAGTGTTTATCCATTACATCTCTGCCATTTGAATTTCTCTATTTTGTTAAAGTTTCTTGAACAGATTTCATTCTTTGACCTACTTAAAATACACATCTACAAATACATCCATACCCAGGGAAACACAGCACAACTGAGTCAAATAAAAGCAACGAATCAGATCAAAAATAAAACTCAGAAAAATATGTTATATCACAGCCACCTGTATATCTTAAAATGCAAATCTAACTTAGATTTTTTAATACAAGTGACAAAGCGAGCTAAAAATAAATGCCATTATGACATCTGTAGATGGTATATTGTTCTTAAAGTGAAATTAATTGATTCCATATCATAAAAGCCTACTTTTACTCCATCTCTGATTCTACTTAACTATACATAATCTTTACACTAATTATTTAAAACATACCATTTACAATACTTTGAAACAAGGGACCAAATCTAAGCATTTGGATTATTTATTAAAATATGATTCTTGCCGGGCGCGGTGGCTCAAGCCTGTAATTCCAGCACTTTGGGAGGCCGAGGCGGGTGATAACGAGGTCAAGACATCGAGACCATTCTGGTCAACATGGTGAAACCCTGTCTCTACTAAAAATACAAAACATTAGCTGGGCATGGTGGCGTGTGCCTGTAATCCCAGCTACTCAGGAGGTTGAGGCAGAATTGCCTGAACCCAGGAGGCGGAGGTTGCGGTGAGCCGAGATCGCACCATTGCCCTCCAGCCTGGGTAACAAGAGTGAAACTCCGTCTCAAAAAAAAAAAAAAAATATGATTCTCTTCAGACTAAAGTGCCCATCATGTCCTTGGAGGCTAAACATTTTTGGTATTAAAGAGTACTAATGACTATCTTGGAGATGGTTATAAGAGAATTATATCCAAAAACAGCAATATTAATACATAAAGGGGAAGGAAATGTCCAAATTCCAAAGCAATAGTTCTCTGAGCAGCCCATGCCTGTACGTAAAAACCAATAAACTCAACTTACAATTTCAGAGCATTCCCGTCTCTTGAAATCTATCCTGAGACTAATTCCAAAGTAATAAGTCCTCAGACCCTAAAGGTTATAACCCAAAAGTTTAATTTCTTAAAAAAAAAATTTTTTATAAAAATTTTAAAGTTACTCCTCTATGACAAAGGGATGGGACTAGTAGAAAACTGATACAGAACTTCTCTGTAGGAGTCCTTACATGACTGACCTTATTCCCACTAAGCAAAGAGTGGATGAAAAGTGGTTCCTCCATGTAAATTACCGAGAGGAAGTCCTCTTTTCAGATAATGAAGCTTGCTATAACAACACATTAGATCAATGACTCTGTTACATCCTTCAGGAGAGGAGCTGTAAAGATATTTTATTTGAGGCCAGGCACAGTGGCTCATGCCTGTAATCCCAGCACTTTGGTGGGAGGCCAAGGCAGGCAGATCACGAGGTCAGGAGTTTGAAGACCAGTCTGGCCAATATGGTGAAACCCCGTCTCTGCTAAAAATACAAAAATTAGCCAGGTGTGGTGGCACGTGCCTGTAGTCCCAGCTACTCAGGAGACTGAGGCAGAATATTTTGAACCCTGGAGATGGAGGTTGCAGTGAGCTGAGATTGTGCCACTGCACTCCAACCTAGGCAACAGAGACTCCATCTCAAAAAAAAAAAAAAAAGAAAGAAATAAAAAAATTTGGTAAGCAAACTGATAGAACTGCTCTATTAGTTATTTATACTTAAATGTGATTTTAACAATCAAGTGTTTATAAAACTAAGAAAACAATTATTTTGAACATAATTTTGGAATTCTGAGCAATCTGTAGGGATAATTAGACACAGGAGACTCAGCTGGGAGATTTAGGTCAGGAGGTGCTCATGGGTGTTTACAGAGAAGTAAGGATGTATTAAATGATTTAATTCTGCCTAGGGATCTAACAAAAGAAAATGGGGAAAATAAGTACCACAGAAAACAATCTCTGTGCATTTCTTAATTTTATATGACACCACACCTCACATCACCTTTTGGAAATACTGATCACATTAAGCAGAAGCCCAGCTAGTGTCCAACTGTAAAGAAACCCAACAGAACAAGCACTTATCAGACTTTTAACCAATGTCAAAGGGAAGGAGGGAATTTCCAGAGGAATGAGAGGTGTAAACTAGAACATACGAAGAATTATTAAAGACAGTGGAATCACTGAGTCTGCTGAAGATTAAATAAGAATATTTAAGATTATCAAGAGGCTGTATAAAACTTTAGAACCCATCATAGTAACTACCATCTTGGAAATGGAGGAAAAGTGTAACTAAGCAGTATAAATCCATTCAGAATTTCTTAAAAGTAAAGACTCTTCACTAGAAAGGAACATGAAAGGAACTTTCCTGAAGGTTCTGGTTGATGGCAATTTTGCTTTGTGAATAGAGAATAAACCTGAATGCCTCTATGAAGGATTTATAAGCCTCAAGAGCCTATGACTAGAGAACTTTTCTGTATTTCAAAAGAAATGTAAAATAAATCACATATACCAAAGTTTGAAGGAGAAAGATAAATTTTAAAAGTGCAAGAGGCTGAGTTTATTAAATGCCAACTCAAATTTAGGGAGAAAAGTTTTACTATATAATAATCATTTCCCGAATTTTAATATAAAAATTTTATGAAACAAGACTGTATCAAGGAAAAGAGCACTCAGAAATCTAATTTTATAACTACATTCTCTCTCCAAATGAAATTTCAGGTTAGAATTACTAAAAATTCACACAGTTGGTTTTGTTATCAGTGATTAAAACAGTAACGGTCTCCATAAGAAAATCTGTGTAAAAAAATGTAGTGCTATTGAGGGCTTAAAATTTTTAGAATTTCATAATAATTTTCTAAACTATTTAATTAAAACTCACCATCACATCAGAGCCTAAATGTGGGGAAAAGTGCTTACCTTAACCCTAATTCCAATAGGAATTTGACCCAAGGGATATAGAGCAATATAAACTATATAATCAATGAAGAAAAACATTTATTTTAAGAGTAACTTTAAAAATGACATAGAAATTAAGGAGATTAATAAGACAAGCAGATGCTAAATATCATTCTTCACTGAAACCAACCTTTTCTATAAAAGACTGCATTGAGGAATTCTTCTGCTTGTCTCTCGAATCGAATGATTTTTGCTTGCTCTTGTTTAAGCAGAGCTTCTTGCCCAGCTCCCGAAGCTGGTTCATCCAGACCGACTAAGTGTCCCTGCAAAAATTTACTTGGTGAAATAGTTGCGCAAAAATCTTTCCCCATTCAATATCAAAAGCATAGATACAAAATCAAAGTTAGCAGCAAATAAGGCAAATTAATTTGATGCAATTAAAACATTTTAAAATTTCAGTATAAAGTTTATCTTTTAAAAAGTATAAAAGCAAAATAAATGTAAACATATTCTTTAGCTAGATTTTATACATGTTTTTTGACTATACATTTTGTTCAAAATTTGCATAAACTCTAATTAAACTTTAACTGCCACAGGGATAATTTTCTTGTGAGCACGCAAATATATTGGTTCTATTATACTATACCATAGTTATCTTTCACAGGCAATTCAGACAGAATGCTTTAATTAAAAAAAATTTTTAAATTCCAAATCTCATTTGAGGATCATGTTTGCCTTCCTAGTATGAGATCTGTTTTTCACCAGACACAAAACAGAAACACTTTTAAAGGGGCATTAGGAAAAAAACTCAGAATACATCTGAAATTCACAATTCTGTCTCTAAATTACTATTTTATAAACTGTGGTTCTCAAACCTTTAGTGGGTTACAAAATTGATTAATTGGTCAAAAGTAACGGCAGCAAAATGAGTTGAGAAATCAAATGCACTGCATGTTCTAAGTGTAAGCACAGTATTATTTTTTGTTAAAATGTATCTATGTTTGAACACCTTTGCAATATAAACGGTGGATCTGGCTGGGTGAGGTGGCTCATGCCTGTAATCCTAACACTCAGGGAGGCTGAGGCAGACAGATCACTTGAGGTCAGGAGTTTGAGACCAGCCTGGCCAATATGGTAAAACCCAGTCTCTACTAAAAATACAAAAATTAGCTGGGCATGGTGGCGCATGCCTATAATTCCAGCTACTTGGGAGGCTGAGGCATGAGAGTTGCCTGAACCCGGGAAGGTGGAGATTGCACTTAGATCACACCACTGCACTCCAGCCCGGGTGACAAAAGCAAGACTTTGTGTCCAAAAATAAAGTAGATCAGAAAGTTTCTCTGACCAAAAAGTTCCAATGTGCTGTACTATACTCATCCCTGAGACTCCCAGCATATAATTCCAGGCTGCAGGAGCACTGGACCAAATTGACAATACTTCGCACCTACTTCCACTCTCATATCTTACAGTAACCGAAAATAAAAGTATTTTTTAAAAAGCTAAAAGCATATTTAAGTATTCTTTAAGTTCTAGTGCATATAATTTATTTGAAATCACCTTAATGTATGAATTAATGTCTTTATTTCCATATATAAGTGCTCTGAATAACAAAATGGAACATATCTTGGCACAATGAAAGGAATTAAACAACACATTGAAGACATGTTATAATGCACAAATGATTCTCTCAAAGATTTATAAAATACACACTGATATTTGCAACAAGCTTTCTATGATTTCCCATCCTAAGAATTATGTTAAAAGCACAACCAAAATCTGTATTCAGCATCAATTATATATTGTAAAAAGGTTAATATGAAGAACTCACTGGCATATTCAAACTAAAATAATGATCCTTAAACACTAATATATAAAGCACAGTAAGTCTGCTATATAAGGCAAAAAAATTTAAATGAAATAATTTTAAGTCTTATAAATCATGAGAACCTTTATTATAGCTGTATTTGCCAACATTCTTTTTACAAAAGACTAAAAAACTATTAGTTTTAAAAAATGAGTAACAAAATAATTCTGATACTGATTTAGTATCTAAAAGGCATTAGGAACAGTGATCAATTTGAGTCCAATAAAATCCTCAATTGTATTATACTTCGGTACCATTTCAATGTTTAGTGATTTTTTTAAAAAATCAGACATTGTGTGGCATAGTAACATTCAGGCTGTCCGGGTGCAGTAGCTCACGCCTGTAATCCCAGCCCTTTGGGAAGCTTAGGCAAGCGGATCACCTGAGGTCGGGAGTTTGAGACCAGCCTGGCCAAAATGAAGAACCCGTCTCTACTAAAAACACAAAATTAGCCGGGCATGGTGTTGCATGCCTGTAATCCCAGCTACTTGGGAGGCTGAGGCAAGAGAATCGCTCAAACCCGGGAGGCGGAGGTTGCGGTGAGCTGAGATTGTGCCACTGTACTGCAGCATGTGCAACAAGAGTGAAACTCCATCTCAAAAACTAACAAACACCGTTCAGGGACTCCTTCCTCTATAGAGAAAGCTGTTTCTCTTTCTCTTCTCTTCTACCTATTAAACCTCCACTCCTAAACTCAAAACAAACAAACAAAATCACTAACAAACAAAACCATTCAGGCTGCCTTCTAATTTAAAGCAACACTGAGAAACCTAGCATTCAGTAGGCAAATGCTGCATGTTCTTTCTGGAATCAAGCAAGTAACAACTGTATCAGACTGAACTCTGAAATATTTACATTACTTTTAGTTGATTTATATCAATACCTGTTTTGTTTTAAACACTTTTATTGAGACATAATTCACATAGTAAACAACTCACCCATCTAACATGTAAAATTCAATGGTTTCTTTTCACAGCTATGACTCTCCATCACCACAATCTAATTTTAGAACATTTTCACACCCCAAAACGAAATTCGATGTTCATAAACATTCAATTACAACTTTTCAACTTGCCCCCAACCCTAGGCTACCACTATACTACTTTTTGTCTCTAGAGATGTGCCTACCCTGAATATATCCTATAAATGTGATCACACAGTATGTAGTTTTGTGATGACTGAGTTCTTTCTCCTAGAATAATGTTTTCAAGGTTCATCCATGTTGATGCATGTATCAGTACTTTTTACCTTTCTACTGTTAAATAACATTCCATTGTATGAATATATCTCATTTTATTTATCCATTCATTAGTTGACAAATACTTGGGCTATTTCCACTTTTTGGCTATTACATGCTCAAGTTTTTGTTTGGCCATATATTTTTACTTCTCTTGCATATATACTTAGTAGAATTTCTGTATCATATGTTAACTATTTTGAGGAAGGCCAAACCATTTTTCAAAGCAGCTACATCATTTATATTCCCAACAATGAGTATAAGGATTGGGAACAATGTATAAGGATTCTGACTTCTCCACATACTCGTGAACACTTATTATCTTTTTGATTAAACCCATTTTAGTAGATGAGAAGTAGTATATATCATGGCCTAAGGTTTGTATTTTCCTAACTGACTAACGATGTTGAGCATCTTTTCATGTGCTTCATGCACATTATACCTTCTTTGGAAAAATGTCTATTCAGATCCTTGCTCATTTTTTACTGAGTTACCATCTTCTTGTTGCAAAGAATTCCTGATATATTCTGAAACAAGTCCATTATTAGATATATGATTTGTGAATATTTTCTCCCATTCTCTGAGTTATTACCTCATTGATAGTACTGATGGCACTGTTAACAGCATGCAAGTTTTAATTTCAATGAATTCTAATTTACATTTTTTTGGTCACTTGTGCTTTTGATGTCATACCTAAAAAACTTGGTCACGAAAATTTAATCCTATGCTTTCTTCTAAGAGTTTTATAGTTTTAGGGCTTTAGATCTAGGATGCACGTCAAGTTAATTTTGTGTATGGTGTAAGGAAGGGTCCAACCTCATTCTCTTGCATGTGGATAATCGGTTCCAGCACCTTTTGGTGAAAAAACAATTCTTTCCCCCAAAGAACTGTTTTGGAATGCTTGTCGAAAGTCACTGGCCATACATTTTACTGCTGGACACTCAATTCTATTCCACTATTTATATCTATCCTCATGCCAGTTTCACATTAAGCCGACCAATGTAGTCTGTAGTAAGTTTTAAAATTGGTAAAGTGTAAATCCTCCCAATTTATTCTTCTTTTACAAAATTGTTTAGACTATTTCAAGTCTCTTAAATTTTCATATGAATTTTAGGACCAGCTTGTGAATCTTGCAAACTCATTTGGGATTTTGGAGAAAAATGCACTGAATCAGCATATCAATTTGGAAAGTAATGTCATAGTAACAATTTTAAGTCTTCTGATCCATGAACATGTCTTTCCATGTAATTTCTTTCAGCAACATTTTGTAATTTACAGAATACAAGTCTTATACATTTATATTTATTCCTAAGTGTTATATTATTTTTGATGCTATGGTAAACAGAACTGTTTTCAAACTTTCACATTCATATTGTTCACTAATTCTCCTTGCCTCAGTCTCCCAAGTAGCTGGGATTACAGACGCCTGCCACCATGCCCGGCTAATTTTTCTGTGTGTTTTCGGTAGAGTTGGGGTTTCACTATGTAGGCCAGGCTGGTCTCAAACTCCTAACCTCATGATCCGCCCACCTCAGCCTCCCAAAGTGCTGCAACTACAGGCGTGAGCCACCACACCCAGCCTTTTTTTTTTTTTAAATGACGTGGTAGTTTGAACCTTGCTGAACTTGCTAAACTCTGTTTTGTGGAGGGATTTTTTATGTACAGCATCATGTCATCTGTAAACTGAGACAGTTTTACCTCTTCTTTTGCAATTTGAATGACTTTGGTTTCTTTTTATTGCCTAATTTTCCTGGCTAGGCCTCATGTACAATGTTGGATTAAGTGGTGAGAGTGGACATCTTGCCTTGTTCCTGATCTTGGGGGAAGCTGTTCAATCTTTTAGCTGTGTGATTTTGTAGCTCAGGTTGAGGAAGTTCCCTTCTATTCCTGGTTTGTTGGGTTTATTTGTTTTTAAATCAAGAAAACGTGTTGGATTCAGCCAATGCCTTTTTGGAGGATGTCTACAGAGATGATCATGTGGTTTGTGTCACTTACTCTACTAATACATTGTATTACACCAGCCAGATACAATGGCCCATGCCTGTAATTCCAGCTCTTTGGAAGGCTGAGGCAGGAGGATCACTGGAACCCAGAAGTTGAGACCAGTCTGGACAACATAGGGAGATACCATCTCCACAAATCAGTTTAAAAAAATTATTAACAGATGGGCATAGTGGTGCACATTTGTGGTCATAGCTACTTGGAGGCTGAGGCAGGAGTAA